GAAGATTTGATAAGATAACTTGCAGTCGAGCGCGTTTATCACCAGAAAACGCCGTAATCAAGAGCCTTCTAGAAGGCTCTAAAAAATTTTTCGTTTGTCCTTATCGCCAGTTCTGGATGGACCCCGTTTTCTATATCAATATAGCGATTACTAGTGAGCCAGTAGTCTAAAGGTGCTATTTCGAATAGCTTTCGCTTCGGGACCTCCACGCTATTTCCCGCTAATTGCAGATTTGAATTGAGTTAACGACTTTTTATATATTAGTTTGCACTGTTTTGTAATACTTAAGGATACAATTAGAACTGAAGCCCGCATCAAGCCTCGATTAATCCGCATTACATGTCAATAACCAAAATTCGAACTCACTGACATTCTCATAGTAAACGTTTCTATTAGGTTGAACCGAAAGTACTGTCGCTTTGATATTAAAATTTCGTAACTTCCCTGTGTGAACGTACTTGGCAAAAATGATGTTTTTTGCGATTTTCTGCATTTTTCACGAAAATCATAACTTTTCATAGGAAAGCTTTGGCACTAATGGAAAGAGCAGGTCAAAAACTATAAGAAATGCTTTCAGATTTCATGTAGCATCTCAGATTTCTAACAATTAACTGTCTAAAATCGGGAGTTTGAGTGGTTCTCACTTTCGACTTTTTATCTCTGAATTTTCTCATTCTCAAACAACCACGAAGACGTCATAAGAAAATAGATGAATTTTGCTTCCTAACTGTATTTTTTGTAAGCAAACTCGTTCACATATGGAACAGATACAAATTTTTCAAAATCAGAGCAAAGAACTTTCAGTTCAACCTATTACCGCAAATATTAAACTGACTTCTGCGCTCAATACTAGGTAATGTTAATTTCTATGTTATTGTTATCGTTAATATCACAACACAATAGCAGTACTAACAGGAACACTAATACCCTTAGTGATTCAATAAAGAACGATAATTTTATATGTGTACTACTACTAAATTACACACTATTACTATTTTTGATACTTACGATGCTAATACTTTGATTCTAATACTACATAATATGATATTGAAACTATTAAGGACCCGTCATACTTCGCCGAAAAAATCCCAAGCCCTCAAAAAAGCCCAAAGAAATCCGAAAAAGTCCGAAAGAGCCGGAACGCAGAATCGAACTTTTGGTAGATTGCCCTTGCCCTTCTGAACCGCTCCATCCTAGCGCTAATTATCCTGCCCCAGAGCGGCGGTAATCACTTCGGCTTTCTTATAATCTAACAGAGTTTTCAAATATTTCGGAGTATTTCAAAGCAAGCGAGTGCACGTTTTCGGTCGATAATAGCGTGATGTTTTACAAGAAGACAAAAATTGGGGAAGATTGAGTTTTTTACTCTCTATTTCGTAATTTCCTCTTCGCAGTTCTCCAAACCACTGCAAAACTTGCACATGTAAGCTGAAAATCTTTTTAAGCCACCCACGTGCTAAATCCGATTCCCATGTTAGAACCCAAGTTCTTCCTTGATTCTTCTCTTTGAAAAAGTGCTTTTACCTAACTCGTCCAATTTGAGAGCGCCAGCGTCTCCAACGACAGTCTAGCTCTCTCACAGCAGCGCCGACCAATCAGAGGCTCCCAGTAATTAGGCTGCTAAGGCTAGCAGTACAGAAGGCCGTCTCCCGCGCGACAGAGAGGCGCAGACTGCGTCGCGGGCGCGAGCGGCCTTAATTAGCAAAACCCCGCCTTCCAGCCGCCAATCGTTGAATCAAAGGTTACCTGTGCCTCCCATATATTTTTGCTATGACCCACATAAGATTTGTTTCCAACAAGGTTAATTGCATCCTAATGCCCTAACGTTGACTGCAAAAAGAGATGGACAGAACGAGTAGACGTTTCGGATTGCACTTTATTCCTCATTACGCATTGGTTATTGCCCTGCTTTCCTAATGGCTAGTCCGAAAATGAGGGTTAGTGCCTGACATACGACATACTCGACTTTTTCTTCATCATTGCAAGAACCTTTCAAAGTCGATCCCGTTCTAAACCTTTAAAGACCGGAAAATTCTTCGTAATGCTCTGCTCAGACTAAAACGTGTTTGATGAGTTCTCATTCATTCTCCGACTAAAAGACGCGAGCACGCTTTGCGTACGTTTGATCAACAAGTTCATGAATGAGTTCTAACGCGTTTTGGTTAATTACTATTACGAATTCGTGAAAGAACGTGTCCAAGCCAGCGTGGTTTAACGAGCTCAAACATGTTCTTCCACGAATTCTAATAGTCAATCAACCAAAACACGTCAAAAATCATTCATGAACCTTTTGAAAAAATATACGCAAAGCGTGCTTGCGTATCCTAGTCAGAGAATGAATGATACTTTTTGATACGCTAGGTGTGCATAAATTAGTTCTATTCTGGTAATCTGCGTGTTTTTAACACATAGGGGCACTGCAATAGCGGTCCGTTTTTCGGCAAAAGAGGAAGTTAAAGGAAAGAATTTTTTGAGAAACTTCCAAGGCGTTTTGCTAACTAAAGAGCTTGAAATTGTTGAAAAAAATATGGAGTTAGACATTTCGATAAAATCTAGAAAAAAACTTCTTTGTATCTATTCAAATTATCACTATGCGCCTTTTTCTCTGCTGCGTTGCAGTGCTAAACTTTGTTATTTTTTGCAGATTTATATAATGTGAGGCAGTAATAAAGGGTTTCAGCTTAGGATATAATACCGATTCAAAAGTAATACTAATGATAATAGCAGTATTAGCAATGGCAATAAAGTTGTCTGTGTCAATTTGAACTGCCTTATCGGAAGCTACGCATCCGCTGCGCATTGCTTGCTTACTAATCGATATGGCCAAGCTTAGTGCCCAATCTATACGCTCGCGAACTTAACGCAAGGCTTTAGTGTGGTAGTTGAGCTGAAGAAAAAGAAAATTTGTTTGATGCAGACTTTACTATTGATAGTGGTGTCACCAATGTTACTAAAAGTACTAATATTGGTGCTACTAGTACTCACTAGTACCGCTACTAATGATACCAATGCTTATTTAGTATAGCATTTTTTCAGCGTTATCAATACTGAACACAAATAATTGAAAAAAATTGTTGTTAATATTGATACACTCATGTGATTATGAAATATTTTTGCGCTGGCCGTATCAGCTTTATAAATACCGAAAATGACTCTATCACCCCCAGTTCACTACTGCTGTTACTTTTCGCCATTTCAAAAAAGATTATTACGATTTAAGTTTTCTTCGCTTTTTCTAAGCTGCTTCAGTATGAATCAGCCTGTTTATTTTTTGCGGACCCTAACGCAATACCGTTCTCAGAATGTGCGAAATTCCGTGGATGTCGCGGAATTCCGCGGAACTCCGGGAGTGTTACGGAGTTCCGCGGAATTCCTGGAAATTCGCGACATTCACGGAAATTTTGCACATTCTGTGCGCGGTATTGTAGTGTGAATTTGTTGTAGTTTTCTAGCCTTTTCTCTTTTGGAAAAATGAGTTCCAAAGTATGCTCATTTCAACGCAAACACAACATTTTTGTTCCATTCTTTGATTTCTATCATGCTATTTTAGCCCGAGAGAAACTTTCTACATATCAATAATGACCATTCGGGCAAAATGATGATACCAAAGAGAACGGATAGGACACAATGTGATGACATTGAGAACGTGGATTACATCAGCCACGTCTAGAAAGTGCAGCACTCGATTGGTTTTTGGTTCATACCCTTGTTCCTGTTTTCTCTTTTTCTCTCTTAGCTTTCATCTCATTCTTCCGGTTTATCTGCTGTTTGCTTAAAAATTCTCAATTACAAAGGAATTCTCTTCTCCTGTTGGGGTTGAACCGGACGAAATTTTCGGAAAAAGCTACAACGTCGAGGAGTTTGAGATAAAATCTCAAACATCTCGAGAGTATCTTTATTCGCCGTCCAGTTAGCTCTCTTTGTTCAAGCGCATAGATTTAATCTGCTAAGTTCTCATAGGACTGGTTCCTCTCATAATAAATTTTGTTTTTACTGATTTGTAATGAAATTCCATTCTAATAGTACATTTCACGTTATTGCAGTATTAATATAGTGCTGCTGCGGTGACGACAACATTTGCGCGAAAACAAACAGCATGCCTGCCAAAGCTACCGATTTGCTTGTGACTTGCGCGTAAAAAGTAGGCACATTGGCGATGTTCAAGCGCAAATGTCGCAAGCAATGTAGGAACATTATAATTACTGTCTAGTTACTAGTCTATACACATGTTCAGAAAACTTTCATTATCACTGCAAATCACCTCTGCGTTCTCGTTCTCCTGCTGAACTTGCCTGAATTAAGTTCCTATCATGCCCCTTTGTATATATCTAGTTTGACTTGCGCGACCCACGATTTTTCCCTACTATTACCTGTTCGTTACGATTTTTTGACTAACAAAAATTTTCTGTTTTCATTGCAAAAAAATCAATGTAATGCTAATCTTTGAGACGCATTGAATGTTGACGACAGTCAGACTTCCAGTCTTGAGTTATGGCGTGCAATCTCACCACGTGCGCGCTGAATTTCAAATGATAAGCAGTTACATCAGCATTTTGAAGTTACTCTTATAGTTTTGCGTCTAAGACGATTCTCCTTGATCTCTCAGATATTAAATACTAGAGCGTGTCATCTGCCCAATTGCTAAAAAAAAACATATTCTCCGGGTATAATATAGTAAAGCGGTTTTATGAACTATTTATAATCATGGATATCAACGCTGTGGGGTGACGGACATTTTCGAGGCTGTTTTACGAATACTATAAGGGAAAATACGAGATTTATTTTGATAAAAATCCTAGGATAGATCTTTGAACTGCATCGACCAAGGACGTTTGCACTATCTTCGGTTTTCTTCTAAGCCATGTATTTATCAACGAACATGCTATTGACACTGCAATCACCACATCTTTGGTGCAAAGTCCGCTTGCACTTCCTGCGTCCATTTTGTCGTTTGTCGTTTCCCCCGTTTGAATTGTGTATGTTCGCGTGCGTTTCCGTGCATGCAGTGTGGCGGTGGCGGCGCGATTCGCTCCGCCCATCGCCACGCCATCGCCGCTCATTCATTGCTCGGTCAGCTTTCAGTGATGGCGTCTTTCCTCTTCACATCAGAATCCGTTTCGGAGGGACATCCGGATAAGATGTGCGACCAGGTATGATCGATGTTTATTACAGAAAGTAATATGAGTGGCGAGCAAGAGGTCTGGTAATATCTCGGGAAATTTTGGAGTTTGTCGTTCTATTTTATATTAACTTCCAAATTTTTGAGCGAGATAATGGTTGAGTTGTATGACATTCCGGTCTGAATTAGACAGAATATAAGGCGCAAATCTTTGTGTTCTGCTGCTCAATTTCTTCGCGCTTCCAATGTTTGTTCAATAATCTGTGCTTTGTTCAATTCGCTTCGTATCAAAGTGCATCACATCAAGTTCACATCACATGCTCTCACCACAAGATATGCTATTAACTGGGATCAATGTGTTATTCGACTATGATAAAATGCAAAACTTTGTCGATAACATGGTTCAAGCATAGACTTGAAACTTCCCAAGTTATGTGCTAAGGTCTGACAGAAAAACAAGGACAGAAACAACATTGTGCAATTGTAATCATTGGAGTGAAGTACAAAGTAATAGAACGATATTAGCACTTTTATTGGGGACAAATTCATTGATGGGTTTCTGCAATTGAAAGTTAATGATCAACAAAGGATGTGATCTTTAGGAAGCTGGATGGATGTAGCAGCTACGAAGTGCAGCGTATTGTATATAGCTAACGAGGGATGCTTTATTAGTGGGCCTTCCCACATGATACCTATATCACTTTACGTGACTTTGAACGCTAATTTCAAATCTGCTTTCCATTTCTGCGGAATGATCTTCTGGAAGAAGTTATGCGCGTTTGAAAGTCCATATGGTTCTCAAGTGGCATAGAGTCGGCGAAAAGCTATACATACCGGAAAGTGGTTGACTACAATAAGGAATTCGGCCAATATCCGCACAGGTGTTTTTGTGGATCTTTTCGCTAATTTTATGCCACTTAGAGCTTGAGAAATTCGGACATTCAACCGTTCATAATTTCTTTCTGATAATTGTTTCGCAGAAAAGGAAAGCAGATTGGTATTCAGCTTTCAAGGCGCGTCTAGTGATATAGGTGTCTTTGGAAAGGCAACTTCGATCAATAAGGCTTCCCTTGTAAGTAAAATTGGCAGTAGGCAAAGTGTTGTTGAGCACCGACAACATCCTCATATAGACAGTGGAGGTTTACTCTATATGGCAAAAATTCAACGCACAAGTCCTAAGCAATCTTTTACAAGCATGGCGCTCGTTCCTCTCAAATGTAGTCAGCAGAGTTTGTATGCGATGATTACCGTTGAAGTTACTAGCCTAAAATTCCGGGCACCTCTATTTGTTTTCAAGTATTTTCTAATTTAGATCTCTGATGCAGTGCTCGATGCACACCTCGCCATTGATCCAGATGCCAAAGTTGCCTGTGGTAAGTCTCTTTGCCACGAACTCATACTCCTTGCTAAAAAATTGCTGTTGAAATCATTAGTGCTTCATGTTATTTGCAAACGTAGATTTTATTTCAGTTTTCTTGCCCTGAAAAATTCAAGATTTGTTTAGGTCGTTTTGAATCTAGAGGATCTCGTTGGTAATTTCTTTTTTATTCTTGCTTTCTCAGCACATACTGATGAGATCTGAATTCTCATCAATAGCTCTTTCGAGAAGCAAAGTGTTTTGTTTCAGGCACATCGTGGCCGTGTAATGGGTGTGCTTGTCCGCACACCTGATTTATCACCCGTTTAACAGTTGCTTTGCTTACAGAAACGGTAACTAAAACGGGTATGATCATGTTGTGCGGCGAAATCACATCTAAAGCGAATGTCGATTATCAATCGCTTGTACGTAATGTGGTGAAGAAAATTGGATACGACGATTCTAGCAAGGGTTGGTGATTTTAGCCTTTGCAAACTAGCGGGGCAGGCGTTATGGAGCAAAGCTACGCCGCGTTCCCCTACGGTTTATCCCGAGGGCCATTTGTGTTGCGTCGCCTTTAATTACAGCCGTAGGAGTAGCGCTGGTCCTGCCAGCGGATAGAGCCATTCCCTATTACTACGACCTGATATGTTCAAACTGTATAAATGCAATAAAGAACAAAGAAGACTGCAAATTAGAAAATCTAAAAAATAGATGAATTCTAGGGATGAAAAAGGCTGATTATGAGATGATCCGATGCTGGATTCGAGTTAATAGTGTTCAAGAGAAGTGGAACAAGAGAATTAGTGGAGAAGAAGGATAGAATTTTTCCAGTTAATGACTTTCCAAGAGAAATTAACTCATCTTCTACTTTCTCTTGGCTTGCTCTGCAGACACTTCTTCCTCATATTGTATATTTGATTCGCCCTTGAAATGCGTTTACCATTCACATTTTGATCTCTTTATCCGCGAAGGATGAGGAGAATGGCTCAATCCGCTCGGTAGCGCTAGCTCATCTGCGACTGCAATTAGGAGCGACGCAAGGCAAAGGGTCTCTAGGATATACCACAAGCAAATGCGGCGTAGCTTTGCTCCATAACGCGGCGCCGCCTGCAAACTAGTGCGAGCTCCAAAATGGGTAGTCGGTGTGTTCTTTGTGGTGGGTCCTTCCTTTGTTGTGTATGTGGTAAAGTTCAGCTGAGCAGAAAAGCCCTTCAACTGTACAGGGTGGCCGGTAAGTATGGGCATTACAACATGTAATATATCTTTTCCATGAAATATTCTGCTACGGCAGCTAACATGCCTGTAGCTTATAGACGGCCTCTATATTAAGATAAAAGAAAATCAATCGAACTGCAGTCTTCTGATGCAAACGGGATTCCAGAGTCGGCCTCCTCTTGAAAGGTGCTGCGGCGCGTTCAGTTAACACCATGTTTATAGTACTGGATCTTATTTTGAATAGGGGAATTTTTTGCTGTTATAGCACTGTATTATTCCTCGCACTGTGCTCTTCAAAATCTCTGGTCTTAGAATCTATTCGATCAATAATCAGATTAGTTAGACGAATTCACAGTTCTTTCTTCGAATAGCATTTTTTGACGCATCAACTTCAAAATACGCTGTGAAATCTGTATTCATGTGCAGGAACTCAGCCTTGCAGCAGTGAAACCCTAAGAAGCCTGTGTTTTTGGCAAGCAAAAATAATTTTACAGCGTTTTGGCCTCTATGAAAACCCATCAAATAAAAAATGTGACGCCTATACTTTTTTGGCCACCCTGTAAACGGTCGTTTAATGTTATGTCAGCATATGCGGCGTAGTTTGCTGATTATATTGTGCTCAACATTCGCGGAATACCTTGCGTGCGAATCATGAGCGTTTCTTGGGGCAGAAATTCAACGTGGCTGAAATAAAACCGTTTTAAGCGATTTTCCATGCGCTTAAAGATAGCGTTGTATTTAAAACACTATACAGTGAGTGATGTTTCACTATACTCTCGTACTCAACACGCTCCATTTTAGCGTACGGGAGACTGCTTTGAGCGGTTTATTTCTGCCACGAGATTATCTTATGGCATAAAAATGCTGGTGATACCACTACAGAGGGTGTTCCGCAGTTAGAGGACAGAATTGTCACAAGCGCAATATGCGACATTTGCCGATATACATCTCATTAGGGCTTTCCTGGTAAGTGAACATTCACGACAATACGACCCATTGGTGGGTCGTAAGTGTTCTGCCGTTTTGGACAATGCCACCCACCGGTGGGTCGCATGCTGGAGTTTTTGATTTTGCTGTAGTTTACGATGAAACTTTTTCTGGTGAAAAACAAAATTCTGTACACTTCTCTTGAAAACTCCCCACAAGATTAACACTTTAAACCACGGGACCCATCATTGGACAAAAAATTCTACGCAAACTCATTTTTACGAAATATGCTCTGGTTTGAAATGGCAGTTATCAAACAGCCTTGTCGTGAATGTGTTTAGTGACCATGATGCCTTGTGTGAAAGTCTGCTGACCCCTCAATCTCATGTTCGATGAATCACACGTGAAAATGCCAACAAGGAAACGACATTTATGTGTTCAGCTAGCCTTTACACTAGGTGTCTCACGTGTTATAGGGTGATAATGATGTTGACAATGTGATCGCAGCGTTCTCTTGGCTGATGTGACACAATTGACCTCTCAGTCCCGAGATTGTTAATTGATGCTAAGACAATGAATCAGTTAATTTGGGAAAGAGACTGCATATCTTTTGCTTGCGAAACGCCTAGTGATAATGCTTATCGCAATGATTCATGTTTTAGTATTCGGAAGCGCGCATGTCAAATCGCCACGCTTCTCGTCTCATGATAATGTCACGGAGTGGGATCAAAAAACACAGGCGTCAGCTAAAATTCAATGTATTTGATAGCAGACTAGGCTTTGGTGACATGTTTCTATGGGGGCGATGCTGTTTATGTTTATGTTTCATATTCGTAGCACATAACTTTGGTAGCAATTATATACTAGTGCTGAGATTAGTGGAGGAGCTTATTTTTGAATACTGATAGCGCTTGCTCAGGTTTGTAGCCATTCTTGGGAGTTTTTGAAGAAGATGATCAAAAATGTGTTTGCAGTCTTGAAAAGGGTATTTTGCGTCATCAACAATATTTTTAATTAGGCAGATCACCAGGGATCTATAAGTAACGAACAAAGGAAAACATTACCAGCATAAGTCACGTCAGTCTCAATCTAATAGATCTAAAAGTTAGATGTGAACGTTATGGGCTACTCGTATGGCCTCGGGCAGAGTTCACGCGATTTCATCGTCGCTATTGATCGCGACAACACACCTGTAACAATATCGTTGCATGTTGATCTTCTTGCATTTCGGTTGTGATAGTTTCCCAACAGACTAATCATGACTAACTATCACACCGAAATACAAGAAGATCGGCATGCATGTACTCGTAACACTTGTCTTCTAGCGATTGAATCGCGACGTTCAAATCGCGTGAACTCCGCCCGAGGCCTATGGCAGCTTTGGAATCTCGTTCACACATTTAGAATCAAGTAGTAAATCATTCCAATGTAAGTTACATGATATGAAACGTCTTTTGAATAGAACTGAATGGGTCGACTTTTCGCAGTGAGCGTACTTGGAATTTTACCTTTTGCGATGGAAGAGCATCAATGTCTCACGTCGTATATTTGATTGATTCTTCCCATATTTATCTCTATAGGTGTTCTCAAATGAGCGTTTCCGTTCGTATGAATAGCAGGACCGATCACTTTGCCGCAATCTCAAATACGTTTTTCAGGCTTTTGCTACAGGACATGCAATGTTCTTGTTGCCCTAGAAGAGCAGTCCCCTGACATCGCCAATGGTGTCCACGTACAGAAGGCAGAGAGCGATATTGGAGCTGGCGATCAGGTCCTGAAAATAATCTTTTTGTGTGTTCTCGTATTCATCACTTGTTTTTTTACCTAACAATAAGTTGGAATTATTTCAAAATGAAAGACTGTTTTTGTAGGGAATTATGTTTGGATATGCTACTGATGAGACTGAGGAAGCAATGCCCCTTACACTTCTGCTTGCTCATCAGCTGAACTACAAACTTCATGCTCTTCGTCGCAGGGGAGTATTGCCTTGGGCTCGGCCCGACTCGAAATCGCAGGTGAGCCATATTTCTTCAATAAGTTTGACTAATGCAAAGAAAGGGTTATCATCAGATGCTATGATCATCCGCTATATCGTTTTATACGATAATTATTTAGGTAACCATCGAATACAGATTTGATGGAGGAGCATGCGTGCCTGTACGCGTACATACTGTTGTCTTGTCGGCTCAACATGCTCCTACAATCACCTTAAAAGAGCTTAGGAAGGAGATTCTCGAGAAAGTGTGTAAATTTGAAGAAGCATGTCACTTCGCGATTGGTTTGAATTTCTATGCATCCTGTTTAGGTAATCAAGGCTGTGATTCCACCAAACCTTTTGGACGATAAGGTTGTCTACCACATCAATCCTTGCGGTAACTTCATTATCGGAGGCCCTATGGGTGATGCTGGATTGACAGGACGTAAGATCATTGTCGACACTTACGGAGGATGGGGAGCTCACGGTGGTGGTGCCTTCTCCGGAAAAGATCCTACTAAGGTGAGCTTTTGCTGGATTTGCGTCGTCTACCCATCTGCTGCGCTCGCATTTATGGATTTGATTGATATCTGTGAGATCTTACTATGGTGATTTTGACGTCATTCTAGGTCGATCGTTCGGCAGCCTATGCCGCTCGTTGGGTAGCCAAATCTCTTGTAAAAGCCGGAATCTGCCGCCGCTGCCTCGTTCAAGTTTCCTACGCTATTGGAATTGCTGAACCTTTGTCTATTATGGTGTTCTCGTTTGGAACCTCTGCTCTCAATGAGGCTGAGCTTTTACAAATAGTGAATGATAATTTCGATTTGCGACCCGGAATGATCATCAAGTAAGTTTTCTCCCACCTATACTCCATGTTGAACATCTTGATTTTATTCACTTAGGGAGTTGGACCTTAAAAGACCTATCTACGAGGTCACCGCTGAGAATGGCCATTTCGGAAATCCAGCATTCCCTTGGGAACAACCCAAACAATTGAAGATCTCGCCCGAACTCATCGCCAAATCCAAACAACCGGCTTTATCCGAGGTTGCAGGTGCAATCGCTCACTAAAATGTGCACTTATGTTGACCAATGTATTTCTCACATCGCCCGTTGCTACATCTCGTAACAGAGCTCTAACATATAATTATTTTTCATTATTGTTGAATTTGAACCGGTCACCGGTATTTTCACACTTGCATTTTCATTGTGTGTGCTTTAGCACACAGTGTTGTTTCCCAAGTCCTGTGATTTCTGCTTTGGTTCGGTGATCCTCGATTTGATTGAGGGATCCCCATTTTTGTTCGACGTGGAAGTCTCTTCGTACGTTGAAACTTTGGTAGGAAATCATATATAGCTGTTAAATTCACAATGCGTTGAGATTTGTATTTGATTGTCAATTTTGTGAGATCGGGGATAAGAAAAGCTATAATAAATATACTGAAATATTGTGTAGATATGACGGAGCTGTTGGTATTTCTTCGCGATGGGCGTGAATTCATGCCGGAAGGTAGGATGACAGGTGCCTGAATTGCGCGTTTATTGAAGATCTGATAGGCCGGTAACGGTGTGATTGCTTGCGAAGAAACGGCAGCTAGTTACAAAAGCGCTCATACTGCGAAAAATAACCAGGGACTCTGGTGGAGCTTGCCGAAATTCGCTTGCATCGGCATACTTGGTTCAAGGAATGTATTCTGGTTCTAAAGACACAACAACTCACCCGATATATGGAAGGCCTGTCTGAGTACGGTAGGTACACGGTTAGTTAGCTAATCAGTGTGCGACTGCAATACGTACACAAAAGCTGCTGCATGGCGAAGGCGCAAAAGTAGTATCAGCTGAGTGGACGCGAAAGCGGCGCGCGCGTATCTTCACCGTTGTAAATTCCGCGTCTTATGCGCTCTGCGGCTAATAAAGCCGCGATCGCGCCTAAAGCTATTGCGCCTTTGTCATGCAGCAGCCTTTGTACCCTTTGATTCAATCGGATTCGTGGTTGGAAGGCGATTACTCGCACCCACGACGCAGTCTGCGTCTCTCTCGCGCTTGTGCACCTAGCCCTAGCCCCTCACACCTAGCCCTCGAAGCCCCGCCTTCCAGCCGCCAACCTGTTGCATCAAAGGAACACATAGTCTGCTGTAATGGACTACCCACCGTGTACCTAACCGGACAGGCATCAGTTTAAGGGTGTACCAAAAAGTTACAAGCTAGTTTGATCGTTAATACAGGGTGTCCCAAAAAAATGTTTCGAACGTTTGATCTTTAATATCTCTCTTCCCAAGAAGTCTTTTGCCTTGCTTCAGGTACCGTTCTGTAGAGCTGGCTTCAACTTAGATTTGCATTATAGAACGAATCACCCATCTCTCTTCATTACTGTAGGGTTACGGTAGAAACTTCAAAGAGGGTTTTGAACCATGAAAGGCCATATTTTGCCTCAGAAAGGAGACAAAACAGCCTGAAAACTTTTACACTAGGCTAATTAGAGTTGCTGATTTAATTGTGAAGTTCCCAACTCATTATGATGCTTCATTGAAGAGTTATGCCAGGTAACAGGTAGCGGCCATTTTTTCAATGTTCCTAAAAAGTGCGATTACACCGTTTAGAAAGCTTCGTAATCTTGTGAATAGTTGAGTATTAAACTCAGCGTTCAAAAAAACCCTATCACACAAGTTTTCACAATTTTTTGAAAAGTTTTGAAACGGCAGGTTTTTCCACATTGACACCATATGTTTCAAGTTTCTACCGTAATCCTACAGTAATGAAGAGAGATGGGTGATTCGTTCTATAATGGAAATCTAAGTTGAAGCCAGCTCTACAGAACGGTACCTAAAGCAAGGCAAAAGACCTCTTGGGAAGAGAGATATTAACGATCAAACGTTCGAAACATTTTTTTGGGACACCCTGTACTCTCGCGTCTTTCGCCGATCTTTAGGTACCATCCAGTAGGGAAGGTATCAACTTAGATTAGTATGGAGCAAATCCCCCATCACTCTTCATTACTATAGAATTACGGGTAGGAACTTCGATGGGAATTTTAAGCCATTGAGAGCCATATTTTGCTTCACAAAAAATCAAACAAGCCACAATGTTTTTTCGTATGTCGGATTTGCGCTCTAATAGGAGATAGTTCTTTTCTGAGTTACTCCAGTTCAACCGTAACAGACACTTTTCTTAACTTTCCTACACCAAAAGTGTGAGTGCACTGCCAAAAAAGCCCATTGAACTGGTGAAAATTGGTTTAGTGAAATTAGCAGGTGCGAGACCTGTGACACAAATTTCTATATTTTTTGATAAAAATTTTGGTTGGACGTCTCACTACCTACTGGTTCTGTATTCTGGAATTTCCTACCGTAATTCTACAGTAATGAACAGCGATCTCCGATTCGCTCCACCTGCAAACTTGAGTCGAAGCTAGCTTGCTTTGCGGAACGGTAACTAAATATCGGCGAAAGCCATTAGTGCAGGAGAATCACTAATGACAGTATCACATTCTTTGTTGGGACATTCTGTACGTCGAAGTGTGCGGCTTAAGCTAAGTTGAACGCTACCCTGGACTCAGCCTTCCCCTAGGTTATGGCAATGGGAAGCCAATCTCGACGAACTCTTTGAAAGTGACGGTTATTTCTTTCAAACTATGAACGGCAACATGATTAACACACGAGGTCGCATTTGCTGGGCTTGGTAAAGTTTCAGATGGGGTGGGAAACCGATATCTGGAGTGCGATAATAATCTAAGAGATGAGCTGTTATAGGAGTACCTTGCACTACAAATCAACCGCGAGTACGTTCCCACAAGCAATAGTTTAGGAGGAGCAATTATCGATGCCTAGTGCGAAAGGTTTGCTATCGAGCTCATCTGAATATTACTACAATCTGCAGTAATACTACAATACTATCACTAACTTATTTCATTGTTACTGTATTACTAGATATAATCTCAAGAGGTGAACTCATTTCTGTGTTTCTCATATTTTTCACACAAGGTAAGAGCAATCTTACTGACTAGATTATACGACTTCTAAATCAAGATGGTCTGGCAGTCCTCATTATCCAGACTTTGGTATTCTCGTGTTTTTTTTTCAAGCTGTAATTATCGTAAATAAATTTACTTCGCAACGTATACAACTTTACTATTCTTGTGCTATGACAAACTGTTTCCTTTACAGGCCTGAAGAACTCTATTCCATCTTTTCCTAGTCGTTCTAATCAAAATTGTAGCATGCAGTTGAAGGGGACAAGAAATATAGGGATGAAGTCCACGAAAAATTGCTAACTAACCTCAACATAGTCGGAGTTGTTTTAAAGAGTTTTTTCATGCATCCAATCATTTTCTGCCAATTTATTAGGTCATTATTAAAGTAATTTCGCTTTTTTCAAACGGGCGCCACATTTGATAGAACAAGGGTTCTTGAGGGATCTATCTTGCATGCATTCGATGCAGAATTCATTCTCTTTCTAACGGTTATGAAATTGTTGCGAAGCAGTCAATGAGCTTTCAGAAAATAACCAAAATTTGCGACCCATGCTTTTTGAGATGGTCAAGTTTTACAATTTTTTGAAATTCGTATATCAATGCTTTCAAGGAATCCAAGTAACGATTTGATAGAGTAAATCTTATAGAATACAGCCTATTTTTGTCTCTTTCTCATAACTCGCCGTAATTTTTTAAAAGATTTTTTAACAAAACCATCGGATTTTGGCAGGCCTACATCGGCCACAATCGCATCAAACATCATAATTATTCGGAATTTGAGACTACCAAGATGGTACTATGAGTTAGCATTAAATTTACGAGGCAAGTAAGGGTTTACGGATTCGAAATATCAAATTTTTTTGTTTTTCGGGCACATCCTGGGGCTCGCCAAAAATGAATTATGATGATTTACCGGAAACTAAACGAATCGAAAATGAAAAACACCTGTTAGAAAGAGGAGAAAATGCTGCATCGAATAATGCGCGAGCTGCTCTTCTTTTGATGTTCCACGAGGATTTAGCTGCCCAAATATGGAAATCGGTAGCATCAGTTAAAATTCTGTTAAAATTGTATGACAAGATATGAAAAGGGGAAAAAAGCAGTTTTGTATTCTATAAGGTTTACTCTATCGAATCGTTACTTGAGCTCCTTCTGTAGATTGATATGAAAGTTTTAAAAAATCGTGAAACTTGACCATCTCAAAAAGCATGGGTCGGAAATTTTGGTTATTTTCTGAAAGCTCATTGACTGTTTTGCAACAATTTCATAACCATTAGAAAGAGAATGAAATTCTGCATCGAATGCATCCAAGATCTCTTAGAAACCTTTGTTCTATCAGATGTGGCGCCCGTTTGAAAAAAGCGAAATTACTTTCGGAATGACCTAATATAAGCATCAGGCGAAATTTTTCCCATGGCGCATCAGCTCCCATCTTCTACATTTACGTAGTTCTTTAGATTATCCTCTTTCTATCTAAGTCACCCAGTAAGTCTTGACTTTGTTTTCTCCTGGAGTAAAGTTTCACCTACTTCTGTCTCCACTGATAAGTTCATTTTTCTCCTTGCAATTCTTCAAGCTGTGTCTAAATACCGTAACCGTGATTAGGCACAGGTTCCGGCATGAGACAGCTTCTAGGGTTCTTTCAAAACAAAATCTGGTTCAAATTCGGCGGATTTTTATGCAGTCCTTTGACTCTTATCGGAAACGTATCGACTTCTCGCTGGCATTTTTACCCGACGGGAATAGACATAGAAGTCGAAAAAAGAACAAGTGCAAGAGGTTGGAATTGGAGCGACATTTAACAAAGCGGTTCTGATGACAAAGAAGCGATGATATGAATTTGTCTTTCTATTTAAAGGCAGTGGTCGCGAGAATTCTAACTGCGCGCTTTCTGTTCCTCTTTAGCCGTCCGGATGTGTTTAGACCAGAGTTGTGCTTGGAAAGTCAAAAAAGTGTTTTTTGGCATCCTCCGGCCTTGTAGATTGCTGAGGAAGCTGGAGCGGAGATTTTCGCAGCCGAGTCGCGATTGGCTGCCTGGGCCAATCAGCCACTGCCGCTAAACTGAGTGGTGTTAGAGTGTCCTGCAGCCGTCACTGTTTTTGGCCGAATTCTCCGCTCCAACCTCCTCAGCAATCTTCAAACCCGCTTGACTTTCCAAGCACAGCTTCAGTATAAACACATCCAGAAGGCCAAGGAGGAACAGAAATTGAAAGCAAAAGCTATCGAGACGCAGACTAATAGATCGTCTGACAGTCCCCGAACTGGGCGGTGCCCAGTCTCCAAATGAGCTGGCACTCCCCGGTTGCTCGGTGGTCTCCTCCCCATTCATGTCCCCATTTCTATATAT